CTCGAATCGTATTTAAAAACTTTGGCCTTTCCGCCTGCAAACCACGGTTATACCTCATCAACATCACAGGTGAAATATTATAAGCAATGTGGATGATTTATTTCCAAAACACACAATTTTGAGATCCCTGACATTAAATGTTTCCCCAGAAATGATGTTGTACATCTGGTTCCTTCGTTTATGTACTTGTGTACGTTCTGTCGCTGAGAACCGTTAAATATTTTATATTTAATCACGGCATATGAAATGTTTGCACATTAGATGGGGCATGAATAAAACATCAGCCCAATAATCATCGCTCATAGTTTTCAGGAACTATGTCCCGCGTCACCTGAAAAAATAAAAAATAAATGAAACTAACTTTTCAAATTTTTTTTTTTTTTGTCTTCACTGGGAAGAATGTGTGTTGTTATTTTAAGAAGCTGAAAAGAAATTCAGGAGGGCTGTTATTCCGATTATGGTTTTATAAAGAAGAGCCATTAAAGCAATAAAGCTGATTAGGATTTTGCCAAAGAAAAACATGCCAGCATTTCAATATTGGAAAAGAACTCATCTGCTAAGTGTGCACATTTGCAGGAAAATCAATGGGATGCAGTTCCTGCAAAAATTTTGCACCAGATTCTTCTTTCTGGATTGGAACCCACTTTGGAAAATTAATAGATTTGGGGGGGTGGGGGAAGAACCTGGTAATTTACATGTCATTCTTGACTGTCTGTTTATCGCAATGATTTCCTCTTCAAACGAATGCTGCATCCCCAGGGCAGCCGACACAAAATAATCCACAACTAGTCCTTGACATACAGCAGTTTGTTTAGTGATGACACTGAAATAAATGGACTTTTGCTATCGTTTTTCACACTTACAAACTTTGTAGCAACCCTGTGGTCATGTGATCAAAATTCGGATGCTTGGCAACTGGCATGTACTTATGACGGTTGCACGGTTGCAGTGTCCCAAGGTCACATGATCTCTTTTTGTGACCTTCTGACAAGCAAATTCAATGGGGAAGCTTAACAACCTGGTTACTGTTGTGGTCCGCCAGCAGCCTGCGGAGCTGGCAGTGGAGTCAGACAGAGATGAGGCTGAGGAAGAACAGGGGCCCGTCCTGGAGGCGGGGGAAGGCCTGGATGAGGGCTCTGCGTCGGAGGCAGAGATGGGGCCAGGGCCATCGGGGAGTGATGCGCGGACTTTGGAGCCTCCAGAGGCTGACAGTAGAGAGGCAGAGGAACAGGAGGAGCCTGTTCCTAGTGCATGTATGAGAAGAGCTGCCAGAAGGCAGGAGCAGCTAAAGCAAAGAGGACGACTCGGGAGTAGGGCCAAGACATGATTGGCCCCTCCCAGAAGGCTTAAAAGACCAGCAACGGCTCTTGGGCTCTTTGCTGGAAAACAACATTGATAGATTTGCTTCTTGTCTTGCTGCATTTATGTCTTGTCGGCCTCTTCTGCTCCTGAACTTTTGCCAAGAAAAGCCTTTGGCAGGTTGCCACAGTAGACCAAGGTTGGTGATAAGGCTGAAGAATTGTGTTATGAAGAATTTGTTTTGAATTAGTTTGGACTACGCTGAGAATGAGTTAATTCTCAGCTGTTCTAATAAAGTCTGTTTGTTTAGAACTGATGGCGTCTGATAAGACCTACTTGGGCCTGGGTCATAACAGTTACTAACTGTAGTAACAGTTACTAATTGTAATAACTGTGAAGCGGTGCTTCACTTAACAACTGTGGCAAAAAAAGTCATGAAACGCAGCAAAAATGGACTTAACAAATGTCTTGCTTAGGAACCTAAATTTTGGGCTCAATTCTGGTTGTAAAGCAAGGAGGACTTCAGTACGTAACACAGAGCTACCTCTATGTACCAGAAGAACTGAAGGCTCTGTGCAACGATGGGAGAGACTGGGAGAAGGAAGAGCTACTGATAGAAAAGGAGGATGAGCAATAGTGTACAGGAAGTCCTTCACTTACAACTGTTTGTTTTAGTGACCGTTCGAAGTTACAACGGTACTGGAAAAAACGTGACTTACGACTGATATTCACACTTACGATGGAGAGAACTACAACTGCAGCAGATACATCACCTGGCAAGCAGTTAAAGTTGTTCTGCCCCAGCTACGGACCCCAAAGAACGCAGCACACACCAAGTTTGTACAAAACTTAATTTACTAAAATAACTCAGTCTTTATCAAAACAAAGGCTGTTAATAAACTTTCTTAACAGCCTACAAGAAACCAAAGATAAAGTAAGCACAATCTTACTAAAGTTGACAGAAAGCCCAGAAGCAATTTGCAGAGAATCCAGACGCGAAGTAGAGTGAACTAAAAGTTGTTCCCTACAAATTGCTTCAATCGGGGTTCCTCCTTAAATAGGCTAAGGGAGTGGCCAATTACTCCTTACTCTCGAGGAGACCTCCATCTGAGGAGCCACTCCTGCCTTTTGGCTGCTCTGCATGCCCGTGCATCGAGAAGAGGCTCCTCCTCTTCGTCCTCTTCACTTAAAGGAGCTTCTGGAGGTTCTGAAGGCTCTGGCTGAATCCCTGCCTCTGGCACCACATCTTCTCCAGCCTCCTCATTGTCCGACTCGAGCACCAGCTGCACAGGCTGCTGGCACAGCACCACACCAGCCTCTTCGCTGTCAGAGTCAGCTACAATCCACACAGGCTGCTGACGAGCCACAACAAAAGTTGAATCTTCTCTTAAAAGAATACTATGTGAGAACATAGTTTGGTTCCTGGTGCTCTCTGAGCTGGGTTGCTTTCTTGCAGACATACTGATGGTGTTACCTAGTTGGGTCATCAAACATCTACAAGAAAACAACCCAGCTCAGAGAGCACCAAAGGGCCAACACTTCAACCCTGAGCTAAATATATTCTCTTCAACTGGAATACTGTTTAGTCTTGCTTCTCTTCCTTCTGATTATGAGTTTTATTCTTTTGATGCTCGCTTAGTGACGTCTCTTACAAACCGCTACAAACATGTTCCTCACATTTTTAGCTTACATATTTAGATAGATTTGATCTTTCTCAAGGCTCCTTAAGGTGGTATTTTGTTCCCATAGTGGTCCTACCAGGTCCCTGTGCTAGGTCTCCAAAGTAGAACATTAGAAGGTCATCCTTCATGTCCTCTTGAGTGGACATTAGGAAATTTACTGCCCTGAGAATAAATGTAGTGTTTTGGTGGCAACCATTCTACCTAAACCCATCAAGATGGATAGCTACATATCATGCACCTAAAAACAAGAGGAGAAGCAATGGATGGAAACTAACGAAGGAGAGAAGTTCTCCTTCTAGAACTAAGGAGATATTTCCTAATGGTGAGAGCAATCAACCAATGGAACTGGTTGCCTTCAGAAGTTGTGGGGGCTCCATCACTGGAAGTTTTTAAGAAGAGATTGGACAACCATTTGTCAGGAATGCTGTACGCTTTCCTGCTTGAGCAGGGGGTTAGACTAGAAGACCTCCAAGGTCCCTTCCACTATGCAAAAACTTGCAGCAGTTCATCTATCCTGAGTTTTCCACCCATTAGATTCAGAAGATGTCTCAAATTTTCAAGTTTTGCCTAAGTGGCTGTCGTATTATCCCCTTTTTTGCCTCAAATATAGTCAAACATAGCCTCTGGACTTAAATCTAATCCTTTCCCGCATTTTTCTTCATTTTTTTCTTAACTGTACAAGATCATTTTTTTTAAGGTGACTTCCAAATATTTGTCCGAGCCATAAATTTGCGTAATTCTTTTTACCACTCTGGCAGTTTGATTTTTTTTTTTTAAATCTCATCTTCATGACATGCGATATATAATTTCTCCTTTGAAAACAAGATGGATGGGGTCATCGAGTTACCTGCAACACCTGAAGATGTTGTCCCTTGTCACTCACTGATAGCTGAGCAACTTATCGGTGCTTTTATGAGGGCAGAAATGTCTGTCCCAATTTTATCTCTTTGGAATGAACATAACCATAAATGCTCTTGTTCATGCCAGCAGACAGAGGTAATACAGGTAGTCCTCGGCAGTGGTGAAATCTAAAATTTGTTACTACTGGTTCTGTGGGCGTGGCTTGGTGTGGGGGGGTAATGTGACTGGGTGGGCGTGACCAATTTTTAAAAAACTTTTTAAACCATTTTTTCTACAATGAAGAGGGTTTTTTTTTCTTTAGCAAAGAGGTTGTAAAAAAATACTTTTAAAAGCCTCTGACGATCCAAGCTGAGTTGCCTGATTGGCAGAGGCTTTTTTAAAAGAAAAAAAAGCCTCTGATGATCGCGCAGCTCAGCTGGCCATGGGGGGGAGGGCAGGGATTTTTGCTACCGGTTCTCCGAACCACCCGCCTCCATCGCTACCGGATCGGGTGATCCGGTCCGAACCGGGAGCATTTCAACTCTGGTCCTCGGACTTATAACCATTCATTTAGTGACAGTTTGAAATTGTAATGGCACTGAAAAAGGGACATGACCATATTTCACACTTAGGACTGTTGCAACATCACAAAATCAAAATCCAGACGCTTGGCACAACTGACTCATATTTATGACGGTTGCAGTGTCTCAGGGCCCTTTTGTGACCTTCTGATGAGCCGAGTCAATGAGGAAGCCAGATTCGCTTAATAACTGTTTCACTAACTGAACAACTGCAGTGATTCACTTAACAACTGTGTCAAGAACGGTAGGTAATAGGAGGCAAAACTCACTTGACATCGGTCTCGCTTAGCCACAGAAATTTGGGGCTCCGTTGCGGTCGTAAATCGAGGACCGCCTGTATCCTCCCACTGCTTTTCTCCATTCTTCTATTTACCTCAGCTCAACTAACAAACAGTAGTAACTTTGCTCACCTTGAGATTGAAAAGGCCTGCTCCTTGTTCTTTGCAACAACGCTCACGAGACATAAAACCACAGACGATGACTAAACTGCCACTACTTACCCGCGTGATTACACGCCTATCACCATTAAAACCACTAACACAACAACAACAACAACAACAACAACAAAAGCCTTACAGGGCTAACTGGGTTTACTTACATTGTGTGAGGGTGCCCATCAAAGCATTCTTAAAGTTGTCCTTCGCTTGGTCCATCTCTTGTTCATGCGTGGCTTTTTCGTTCATGAGTCGACGGACGTGGCTGTTGGCCGATTGCACCATCGAGTAGAACTGGTTGGACGTGCGCCGGTTCACCTCCCCTCGTTCGATCCAGGTGAGTAACACTACTATAGCCTCGGAGAACTTGCTGTCATCTGGAACAAACCCATTTGAGAAAAGCCAAAATTACAGACAGCCGATCGTTGGGTGACGAATAAGATTTCAGCCCTTACGAATTGTCCCATTAAGAGTATTTATGACGTTACCTCAGACTAGGTTGGGCTTCGCGCCCGTCTCATATAACCCTTTATAAATGGCCCTCTAAAGCAATGATTATCGGGAGTGCCGTAAATGTTGTGGCTCGGATTTTCATTCATTCCTTATGCTGTCTTCGCGATGTTGAAGTAGATTCACCGTGGGAATAATTAAACGTGAAGTATCTTTTAAGATTCCACCCAACCGGAGTGAAAGGAAGACGAAGTGTTTTCAGATCCACACTTAATCTTTCCAACAGGATCCTTGAGTGTACAACTGTTTTACAAGCCCCCCCCCCCCCCCACCCGCAGACACGAGTGATTCCAGATGAGAGGTTTCCGTCACTGTCCCGCTGCGGTGAGACCTGTGTGAAGCAGAAGGCATGTTGTGTTGGCGTATGAAACTTCCTGATTTCCATGGAAAAAAGAGAAAAAATGAGATGTAAGACTATAATTGTTGTCTCTCCTTAATGGACTATCCTCAAACATCAGCCAGAGTTACATCTCTAAATAAATCGATAGGGTTGATTCAGAAATGTCACTGGCTTATGTTTGAGGGTAGAGAGTAGAGACCATTAAAGAGAGGTTAACCCTAAGCCTGACTCAACTGAAGAAGCGTCTTAGATGAGGAGCGAAACGTCTTCAAGAAAAAAAAACCCAAGGAAGTCCAGTTGCCTTTTGAAAACTATCTTTGGGACAACTCTGACCTGTGAGAATCTCCACAAACACCCTGACTCAGTCTCACATGTCTAGGCTGAAAAGGCTTACAAAGGCACCAACTGTCTGAGGAAGGATCCTTGTGGACCAGAAACATGATCTCCAGGAACTTTGAGGAGACCAAGGGCTCCATCCCAATGTTATCTCTTCCATTCCACCTGCGTCTTCTTCTCCTCACCTTCCACCCCATTGACCTCCGTGCCAGAAACTTCCTAAACTCTGAATTTGGCGTCACTATTCATTGCAGGAGGAGAGTCAAATGAGATTACAAGTGAGTCAGTTCATTTTCCAAAAACACAACAACAGGAGGTGATCAGAGAGCAAATAAAAGTCGTCCCCTCTGTAAACTCACTGTGTCTTTGGAGTTCCTCAGTCAAAAGTGCGACATCCTACCAGGAGGTTAGGCAACAGTCTACACATCAACACCTGACTCATCTTTGTAAGGTTCTTACTCCCTTTTGACTTCAGTTCTTTAGATATCCTGGTTCTGCAATTGGCCGAGTTCAGTCCCAGTCCCAGATCAAGCAATAAAAGTGAATATTTGTAGCTTAGGGTTGAAATGAGAGGGTCCTTGATGCTCTCTGAGCTTGGCTGTTTTCTTATAGACGTTTCATTACCCAAACTAGGTAACATCATCAGTGCTAGAAGGGAATGGGGTTTGTAGGTCACAAGGAGGAGGAGGAGGAAGAAGGCTGTGGGGTCCTTGGTGCTCTCTGAGCTTGGTTGTTTTCTTGCAGGCATTTCATGACCCAAGTACGTAGCATCAGCAGTGCTGGAAGTGGAGTGGTATTTGTAGGGATGAGGAGGAAGGAGAAGGAGAAGGAGAAGGAGAAGGAGAAGGAGAAGAGGAGGAGGAGGAAGAGAAAGAGGAGGAGGAGGAGGAGGAGGAGGGGGAGGAGGAGGAGGAGGAGGAGGAGGAGGAGGAGGACTGTGGGGCCCTTGGTGCTCTCTGAGCTTGGTTGGTTTCTTGCAAACGTTTCATTACCAAAGTAGGTAACATCATCAGTATTGAATGATCCTACCTAGTTGGGGTAATGAAATATCTGCAAGAAAACAACCAAGCTCAGAGAGCACCAAGGTCCTCCTCCCCTCTCCAGATCAAACATTAACCCCTGTTTAGAAGCCTCTTAGAATATGAAAACCCCCTTCCCTCTTTTGAGCAATTTGCATACTTGATCAATACGAAAGGTTCAATGGTTGCAAAACGTTGGAAAAAAATAAGGTAATCAATCCAGAATCATTTTTTTCTGATGACGCATTGCTGATCTTAAGACAAGAAGAAAGTAAACTGAGTTGTTTATGAAGGTTTATCCATGAGGTTCTGTGTGCAGAAAACCGGGCTCCTTCAATCAACGTGTTTTTATGAACCCAGATTGAAGGACGCGGCTCAAAAGAGGCTGTTTTTCATTTCCCTCCGTTGCTGCAGCAAATTAAGTAAATCAAAGCCGCCGAGGCAAAAAATAAAATTATCAGAAGGCACTTTTCATCTTGATTAGTCAACTGGAGATGTAAATATCTGAGACTCTAATGGAAGCTTCATTTACGACATGATTTCGTTGCATCGGGAAAACGTCCATCATTTTGCAGATAAGAGCAAAACCGGCCATGATAAAATTGCAACTTTCCTAGTTTTAAGAATCCGTTCAGGCAAAATGATTTAATTTTTTTTTTAAAAAAATAGTAGTATTCCAGTATTTGAGATGCTGCCACAAAGGAGAAGGGGATCAACTTATTCTCCAACACACCAGAAAGCAAGAGAAGAAGCCACGGATGGAAACTAACCAAGGAGAGAAGCAACCTGGAATTAAGGAGAAACTTCCTAACAGTGAGGACAATTTAACCAGTGGAACAGCTTGCCACCAGAAGTTGTGGGTGCTCCATCACTGGAGATCTTTAAGAAGAGACTGGACAGCCACTTGTCTGAAATGGTATAGGATTCTCCTGCTTGAGCAGGGGGTTCGACTAGAAGACCTCCAGGGTCCCTTACAGCTCTATTCTGATTGAATGTTTATTACAGAATCATCCCAACCTCCAAGGGATCTTCTCTTCCAATTTCTCCTATTCTTCTCATCTTGCCTATCTTGGAAGTCCTTGGAAACCCAGCCTTGTTACAGTATAATTTGGGGTGTGATAGAGGTATTTGGGGGGGGGAGGAGTTCTCTAGAAGCATTAAGTATTTCCCAAATGAAAACACCAAGTCCACATTTAATTAAAGGCAACTTTTAGAAACTACAAAAGGCTTGTGAGCCCGTTAATGGTTAATTGATGGTTCTTTACGAGAAGAAATGGTTGTATAATTAGGAGGTGTAAGTTGTTAACACTTTTAACAAGTGCTAGAGGAAAATTATTCACAGCAAAACTGTATTACCTGACTTACTGTCCTCTCCGTGGGTTATTTTTAAAATTCTAATTTCATCTTCTCTTCTTGCTTACTAAATCCAGGAGTCAACTGCCCGGTGGCTTACAAGCTGAAAGCATTTTCTTTTGCCAAAAATAGAACAGAACACTTCTCATAAACACCTGCAATTTCTCCAGAGCGTCCCACAGTACGTTGAATGTTTACAAGGGAAGTTATCTCAGGGAAGGCAAAGCACAAAATCCAATTTTATACCTGGATTTGGTTTGCGGTTTAGAGCATCGGTCCTTTGGAGGAAGGCAACACGGTTCAAAAATATTATTTGGAGGAGGAATGACCGGTAGAAAGAATATAATTCGCTGCTGCTTACAGAAGATAACTTTAGGTGGGGGGATTGTGGTCCTTCTAAATTCCATCATACATTGGGAGTCTTCGGTATTTCTTTCTGAAGTTTAATGAAGAGGGGGTCAAGCTATTCTCCAAAGCACCTGAAGGCAGGACAAGAAGCAATGGATGGAAATCATCCATCTGTCTGTCTATCTATCTATCTATCTATCTATCTATCTATCTATCTATCTATCTATCTATATCATCTATCAATCTCCATCTATCATCTATCTATATCTATATCTCTACCTCTATCTCTATCTCTATCTCTATCTATATCTCTATCTATATCTATATCTATCTATCATCCATCATCCATCCATCCATCCATCCATCCATCCATCCATCCATCTATCATCTATCAACCATCACCTATTCTCAGTGGTGAAATCCAATTTTTTTTACTACCGGTTCTGTGGGTGTGGCTTGGTGGGCGCGGCAGGGGAAGGATACTGCAAAATCCCCATTCGCTCCCCACTCCTGGGGAAAGGATATTGCAAAATCCCCATTCCCTCCCCACTCCTGGGGGAAGGATATTGCAAAATCTCCATTCCCACCCCACTCTGGGGCCAGCCAGAGGTGGTATTTGCTGGTTCTCTGAACTACTCAAAATTTCCACTATCGGTTCTCCAGAACCTGTCAGAACCTGCTGGATTTCACCCCTGCCTATTCTATATCTGATGGTGCAGGTTAGAATGCAGTATTGCAGGCTAAGTCTGCCAACTGCCATGAGTACGAGTCTCATCAGGCTCAAAATTGACTCAGCCTTCTTCCATCCTTCCGAGGTCAGTAAAACGAGGACTCAGATTGTTGGGGGGCAAGAGGCTGACTCTGTAAACTGCTTAGAGAGGGCTGTAAAAGCAATGTGAAGCAGTATATATGTCTAAGTGCCATCGTTATTGCTATCAATAACAGTGCCTGTTATAAGATAACACAGTTCAATTTTAGAAACAGAAACTCCCCACCTACAGACTCCAAAGAAGGAAAACTGTACAAAAGGGGCTCCTGACCAGAGAATTAATAGTCTGCAGTCCACAACAGCTGATGGAGCCTTGCTCAAAATAGATGAACATCCCCAGCAATTAAAGGTCTGAATTGAAAATTGGACTTCTCCTTAAGGCTTCCTTGATTCTCACATAAGCGACCTCCATATTTAATTCAGTCTACGATGGCTCTGATCCATGTATTTAAATTTCAAATCTGTTCTTTCTTCGGGGGATAATATAGTATACCGAAAAATGACAGGTTCTGAATTGAGAAGAAATTATATGTATATATGTAAGGATTTATATTCCTTGCAGTCATCTGGTCATTAGTATTCTTTCTGAGAGTCATTGAGGCACTGGGTGGTTTATCCGTCCATCAGTCCAAGTGACCTCAACGACTCTCAAAGGGAGTCCTAATGACCAGATGACTGCAAAGAATATTTCTCACAGTCATCTGGTCATTAGGACTCCCTTTGAGAGCCCTTCCATTCTCCACCCTTCAGGCAGAACTGAAGAAGCTTCTGGGATGAGGAGCAAAATTTCTTCAAGGGAAAAAAAACCCCAAGAAAGTCCAGCTGCTTTTTGGAAAAAAGAACTTCGGAACAACCATGATCTGGATGACCGAGAACCTCCAGAGACATAAGAAGGAAGCTTGAAAGTCACACACAAAAAAAAAATCTCAAATGAAGACTTTGAACCTGCCTCCTCCCTCTGTCAGTCAACAGGGAACGAGAACCAATTGCTTTCAAAGACTAGCAGGTGGGGAATATGAAATGCAATCAGTAGAAAAATCATTTGCTTCAGAAGGATCTAAAATGCATAATTTCAAGCCGGCATTGGATAAGGAAAAAAAAAAAATTGGATAAGTTCTCAGGCTCCCCTTGATGACAAGAAGCCTTGATGTATTTTTAAATCAAGTTGCCAGGAATGTAAATGAAAAGGGATGGTTGCATAGAATTCTTGAGAAAAAAAGGGATCGCATCCACTTTAATTAAACAAAGGTTTTCGACTTTGTTAAAGGCGTGCTGAGAAACGAGCCTACTGTATTTCAGTAAAACGTTACGTTAAGCCATTAAAATTCTGGGTGGAGATTAAATTAAAATTATTTAAAAATTAAAAACCATTAAAAATTCTGGATGGAGGGAGATGCAACCTGGAATTAGGAAGGAATTTCCATTTGAAGTTCCAACAGCATTGAAAAAAGTGATTTATGGCCACTTTTCACGCTTACGACCCTTGCAGTATCTTCATAGTCATACAGTCATAGTCATACAGACCCTTGACTCATATTTATGACGGTTGCAGGATCCCGGGATCACGTGATTCCCTTTTGTGACCTTCTGGCAAGCAAAGTCAATGCGGAAGCCAGATTCACTTCAACAATCGTGTTACTAACTTCACCACTGCAGTGAATTGTTTAATAACGGTGACAAGAAAAGTCATAAAACGGAACAAAACTCATTTAACTGCCTTGCTTAAAAACAGAACATTTGGGTACAATTGTCGTTGAACTTCGAGAGCTACCTATATACGGACTCCTGCCTTAGTCAGGGGGCTGGACTAGAAGACCTCCAAGGCCCCTTCCATCCCTACAATCCTATTTCTATTTAATGGCCGATGTAAGAGCTGCAACATGGGACGTGAATGGAAGCACCGCGTACGGCGCTGCAGACAGAATCAAAGCGCGCGGGGTGCCGAAAAGATATCCCACCAAACTTCTCAGTTTGCTGAAAACACAAACGCCCTTCTCTCGCTGGCAATATTTGTGGTCTGCGGGCGACACTTCCGTCGCAGGCTTCAACTGTTACCAATCTGTGAAAGGACGTGTCACGAAGGGAGGCGGGAAGTTTTGATGAGTTGTTGCCTCCTCTCCGTGGAGTCTCGCACGCAAAGTGGCAAATTGGATTTCACACCTCCCTAACGTGTAAAAAAAAAAAAAAACCCTTCAATAACATTTAAGGGGAAGGAAATAACTGGAATATTTCGAAAACATACCGTCGAAGTACAGAAAGAGGCAGTACACATTTTTCCAGATCGTACCCAAACAGCGGCTATTGTCACACAACGCAAGGAAAGGGACACATTTCATTAAATAGGATGAGAACATGTTTTTCAAATAAAGGCACGGTAACCAGCTCGCAGCGTTGTCGATGTTTTGACATCCGACGGAATCGCAAAAGGGTTGCATTACCTTTCAATTTTTCTGCCAGCAAAGAGGCCTCATGTTCCGAATAATGCATGATGACGGGAGGCGAAGGGGGACGTATCCGGTCTTCTTCCATTTTGCGACGATGGCGTTCTTCTCGCGCCAACATCCTCTGTTTACACTCCCATTCGTAAAAATCATCTCTGGCCTGAGCGAAATCGACGTGAAGACGGCCGGAGTCCTTCTTATCGGTGCTGGATCCTAACCTCATGCGATATCCTGAAAACAACAAACCAAGAAACGCAACAGATTCTGTGACGGTGTTGTTTTAATCAGCCTTTTTTTTTTTTCTTCTTATTGCCAAAAAAGCCAACACAGATCTAGGCTGGGTAAACAAAGCGATGGAACCAAGATCACGTGAAATGTTAATACCACTTTATAAGGCCTTGGTAAGGCCACACTTGGAATCCTGCATCCAGATTTGGTCACCACGATGTAAAAAAGATGTGGAGACTCTAGAAAGATTCACTTAACAACTGCCTTGCTTAGCAATGGGAATTTGTGCTCAGTTGTACTCATAGGTCAAGAATTATTTGCCTGTCTTTTCAGATGACCTCTAAGAAAATACCAACTTCAGCGTCTTAGACTGAACTTCACAAAGTTTGATGACGTGCTAAGAAAACGCTAAGGTAATTCAATTCTTAAGTACGGAAATGTGAAATCTAGACATTTGGAAAAGTGTAAATATGAAATCTCTCGGCTGTCGCTTTATGATGAAAACACAACAGGACCAGATTTTGCATCTTGACGCATGCAAAAAATAGATTTCCATAATCAGCCATGTCCTATATATAGTTCATCCCGTTTTATTCATTCTTTTTTCATTCATTTTCTTTAATAGACTCGTCTTGAATAGAGAGACACAGAGACAGTCAGAGACAGAGAGAGAGAGAATGAGAATGAGAGAGAGACAGAGAGAACAAGGGAGAGAAAACGAGAGAGAGGAGAGAGAGAAAGAGAGAACGAGAGAGAGGGGAGAGAGAAAGAGAATGAGAGTCAGAGAGACAGAGAGAGAACGAGAGAGAGGGGAGAGAGAGGGGAGAGAGAGACAGAAAGAGAATGAGAGACAGACAGACAGAGAGAATGAGAGAGAGAACGAGAGAGAGAGAACGAGAGAGAGAATGAAAGAGAGGGGAGAGAGGGAGAGAGAAAGAATGAGAATGAGAGAGAGACAGAGAGAGAACAAGAGAGAGGGGAGAGAGGGAGAGAGAAAGAAAGAGAGAACAAGAGAGAGCGGGGAGAGAGAATGAGAGAGAGAACGAGAGAGAGAATGAGAGAGAGGAGAGAGAGAGAGAGAGAGAATGAGAGAGAGAGAGAAAGAGAGAGAATTGAAATCTAATAAGATCAAATGGAAGAGAGTTTATTTTCTAGGAAGGCCATCTTTGATCTTCGTAGGGTTAGCACAAACTGGTGGATCTTAAACCACCTGCAAATATATTCAGTTTTGCATAATTTCAGAAAAGGTAAACTGAATTCTGACCTGAGCTAACAAGAATAATGTGTAAGCAATACATTAGCTTCTAACTGTAACCAACCAGGAGCATTCACAATTTTGTCTGTTTTTTGTTAGTTTTTTCTTTTGTCAAAATAACAAAAGTAGCTTCACAACCCCATGCTGCATGCTCCATACCTTTTGGGCATCTATGCCATGTTGCAAACCATGGCTTACATCCTGAAGGCAATTTTTGGGGTTTTTTTCCCTTGAAAACGTTTCGCTTCTCATCCAAGAAGCTTCTTCAGAACTGACGTTTTAGAACGTAAGAAGCTTCTTGGAAGAGAAGTGAAATGTTTTCAAAGATAAAAGCAAGCAAGTCCAGCTGCCTTTTGGAAAAAGCACCTTTGGGACAACCATGACGTGGACAACGGAGTATCTCCACGGGCAGTGAGATTACCTCCTGTAGAAAGTCTGCACTCACCCACCTCCTAGAGGAATGAAATCTTTAAAAGAATATATATATATATATATATTAAAAAAGGCAGAATATTATATTTTCCCAAAGAGAGAAATGGAGAAACATGTTTTTTTAGAGGCAGAAAGCAACCCCCACTTTTCTTAATAGCCCTCAGCAGATGTCAGCACTTAAGAGATAAAGAACTTATTGAAAGAAGACAAGTATCTAGATAGAGCTATTCATAAACAAATACCCTCACCCAAGAGCCAACACAGGACAAAGCCATTAAGCCACAATAGGAATTATTGAATCACCCTCAGAGCAGTCCAAACTTCAACCAAACTTAGCTCAGACAAACACCTAGGATTTGTACTTTGTCTATGGAGCCAGCTATGCAAAATAACATCGTAACTGCGTAGTACGATGGACTTGCAGGGCTGGTGCAACGTGTAACATGTTCATACTGGTGCAATAGAACTGGGGATTGCTACTATGATTATAGTAACAATCTAATAATTACTATTTATAGTAATATAAATAGTTTTTATTATTATTATTACTATTATTATGATTAGGGATTTTCCGTCTTCACTGTTTTGTTTTGTTTTTAATTAGATTTATATGCAGCCCTTCTCCGGAGACTCAGGGCGGCTTACAATGCGTTAAGCAATAGCCTTCATCCTTTTGTATATTTATACAAAGTCAGCTTATTGCCCCCACAAACTGGGTCCTCAATTTACCCACCTTAGAAAGGATGGAAGGCTGAGTCAACCTTGAGCCTGGGGAGATTCGAACTTGCAGTAATTGCAGACAGCTGAATGTTAATAACAGGCTTTTAGTCTGTTGAGCTATCCAGGCTCCCTGTGAGTTGTGAGTTGTGAGTTGTATTGTGTTGGGGGGGGTGCACTGAGGAAGCTCCACCAATCTCATTGTACGTATGTTGTGCACTGACAATAAAGATTTGAAATGAAATTGAAATGATCCCTACATAACCCCTACATGACCCCCATAGGAATCTAACAACAACCAATAGAATATATGTTCTTGCACAGGAACAGGAAGCTCAAATAAAAAAGCCCAAGAGAAGGTATTTTAAAAAAACCCACTCTGAACTCCATGCGATCAGCTGCACCAGAACCACAAACCCATGTGTTCTGTTCATCATAACCTATCCTGACAGGCGTGTTGTCCTTTTGTGTAAGCCGCAAGTGACACCTAGACTGTAGCCCTTGTGTATCACCACAACTGTAAGTGCAGTAAATTATATCTTCCCTCTCTCTCTCTCTCGCTCTCTCTCTTTTAATGTCTCTTGCCTATTATAAGCCTGGGAAATTACCCTCTCTCTTTGCCATTTCAGAGCATTTTATGTTTGAAAATGTAATAAAGATCATCGCGGAAACACAATAATTCAGCGCAATTAAAACAAGCCGGCTTCACGGCTGACAGCAGCCCTTCTGCCAACCTCAGAAGATAGTCAGGCCTTCGATTCCGCTTGGTAAAATGTCATCAAAATCCAGCTTGAGAGGATGCTAAAGCCATTTTCCTTTCCTTGCATGGTTGAAGTCATTTGCAAGGAGGCTTCGCTTATACGGAGGGCGGCAATTCCTCCTTTCTAGCTGGAAAATTCCGTGGACACGTGAAATGGGTTGAGTAGTAGCAGAGATATAATTTCATGTTTTCTGTGTTAGCCTCTTAGAACAGGGGTGTCCAACTCAAGGCCCTGTGAGCCAGATCCGGGCTCCGATGTGGTCAGATCTGGCCCGCGGGGCTGTCCTGGTCTACCCAATGAGAAGAGGAAAGATGGGGCTAATGTAGCCAGACAGGTGCCCCCCCCCCACATGCCCACATTCATGCTGGCCATGCCCATTCCCCCCAGGCTTATTTGGGTGGGTTGTGTTTTCAGAGAAACATGGTAGGTAGGTAGGTAGGTAGGTAGGTAGGTAGGTAAGTAGGTAGGTAGGTAGGTAGGTAGATAGATAGATAGATAGATAGATAGATAGATAGATAGATAGATAGGCAGGCAGGCAGGCAGGCAGGCAGGCAGGCAGGCAGGCTGGCAGGCAGGCAGACAGACAGACAGAGATAGATAGATAGATAGATAGATAGATAGATAGATAGATAGATAGAATCGATAGATCGATAGATCGATAGATCGATAGATCGATAGATAGATAGATAGATAGATAGATAGATAGATAGATAGATAGATAGATAGATAGATAGATGATACATAGATGATACATAGACAGTAGGTAGGTAGGTAGATAGATGGATGGATGGATGGATAGATAGATAGAGATAGATAGGTGGTAGGTAGATAGATAGATAGATAGATAGATAGATAGATAGATAGATAGATCTGATAGATAGATAGATAGATATCAGTGGTGGGTTTCAAATTTTTTTACTACCGGTTCTGTGGGTGTGGCTTGGTGGGCATGGCATGGCTTGGTGGGTGTGGCTTGGTGGGCGCAGGGGAAGGATACTGTAAAATCTTCCTTCCGTCCCTAATCCAGGGGAAGGTTACTGCAAAATCCCCATTTCCTCCTGATCAACTGGGACTTGGGAGGCAGAGAATAGACAGACAGATAAGGATAGGTAGATAAGTAGATAGGCAGGGGGAGAGAGAGAGAGAAAGACAGAGACAGAATATATATATATATATATATATATATATATATATATATATATATATAGAGAGAGAGAGAGAGAGAGAGAAAAAAAAAGAGAATATCACACACAATACAAATGAGAGGCCAAGGAAGAGGATTTATGGAAGAAGGGGATAAATACCAGAAAGGTAAATGGCTTTGTCAACCATGAATTCTTCTGAAAAACGGATGTGACAAAAGTTCTTCTTGCTTTTTCGAATGGCGGTGATGTCCCCACACTGTTCGAAGACTTCCTGAATTATTTCTTCTGTGGCGTTTTCGGGTAACCCACCGACAAAGACAGTTTTGCATCCCGGCGGCCTCTCCCTGGTTGAAGGGGGTGGAAGGTCTAAGACAAAACAGAAGATCACACAGATGATTGGAGAATCCAGAAACCAAGGTCCCCGGGCAAAAGTCTCTCAATCTATCCTCTACACATAGGTTACTAATCGCCAACATCCACCAGAGTGGATGGAATCTGTCCTGATGCTATTTTGGGTCTCTTAGTTAATTTAAGACTATTTATGCTGGAGTAATTTAGTCCATCACTAAATGCCGACTCACACTTTCCCACCTACAGTATATCATCTCTTAGGTGTAAAGATATTTACCCATGTAGTAGGGCTGTATTGCTATTATCCTTCTCATCTTTTCGTTTCTCATCTTTTCTCATCTTCTTATCTTTCCTACTATCTTCTCCTATTGGCATCTTAAGATTTATCACTTGCTGTTTGTATTTTATGATTAATGATTGAGACTATGATTTATGATCTATGACCTATCACTTTGCTGTTTCTATGTATACCAATAGCTTGTGCACTGGAGATTAATTCCTTGTGTGTCCAATCACACTTGGCCAATAAGGAATTCTACTCTTCTCTTCTCTTCTCTTCTCTTCTCTTCTCTTCTCTTCTCTTCTCTTCTCTTCTCTTTTCTCTTCTCTTCTCTTCTCTTCTCTTCTCCTTTTCTCCTCTCCTCTCCTCTCTTCTCCTCTCCTCTCCTCTCCTCCCTTCCCTTCCCTTCCCTTCCCTTCCCTCTACTCTACTCCTATTCTATTCCTACTCATTCTCATTCTCTTCCCCTCCTCCTCCTCTCTTCTCTTATCTCTACTCTACTCTGCTCTGCTCTGTTCTGCTCTGCTCTGCTCTGTTCTACTATACTCTACTCATATTCTATTCCTACTCATTCTGTTCTCTACCCCTCCCTTCTCTTCTCTTCTCTTGTCTCTACTCTACTCTACTCTACTCTACTCTACTCTACTCTACTCTACTCTGTGCTACTGTGCTCTGCTCTGCTCTATTCTATTCTATTCTATTCTATTCTATTCTATTCTATTCCTACTCATTCTCTTCTCTACCCCTCCCTTCTCTTCTCTTGTCTCTACTCTACTCTACTCTACTCTACTCTACTCTACTCTGCGCTACTGTGCTCTGCTCTATTTTATTCTGAATTTTATTCTATTCTATTCTACTCTACTCTACTCTACTCTACTCTACTCTACTCTACTCTACTCTGCGCTACTGTGCTCTGCTCTGCTCTATTTTATTCTGAATTTTATTCTATTCTATTCTATTCTATTCTATTCTATTCTATTCTATTCTACTCTACTCTACTCTACTCTACTCTATTCTATTCTATTCTATTCCTACTCATTCTCTTCTCTACCCCTCCCTTCTCTTCTCTTCTCTTCTCTTCTCTTCTCTTCTCTTGTCTCGTCTCTACTCTACTCTACTCTACTCTACTCTACTCTACTCTACTCTACTCTACTGGTCCTCACATGAACAGCCAAAGTTGGTAATGTAGTAATATGAACATCAGTGGTACTAAAAGCCAACCTGAGGGACGTTCTTGGGATTTGCCAACCATCTACAATGAACACAGGGTTGGAAGGGACCTTGGAGGTCTTCTAGTCCAACCCCCTGCTCAAGTAGGAGACCCACCCTATGCATTCTCCTGCTATATGACAATTGCAACATCCTTTCACCCCTTTGTTAGGTGGGCAGGGGATACGTTAATTATCAAATTAATAGATAAATCAATTATCTATCAAGCTCTGATCAAGCTCACCAGGTGTACTTACTTGGGTTCGGAGGGAAGAGAGTGCAGCTTTTACAGTGAATAATCTCCTTGATGACTGGGGCTTCGGTTGGGGGAGGCTGAGGTACGAGTCCCATGCCTGACAGCAAGGGGTTAATCGGAGTGATTCCCGTCATCATGCTGAGGTTTGGGTCAAAGCCCCTTACGCAAATCGAATCTGCAAATACAAAATATTTCATGAACTACAGAACAGGTTTTAGTTACCGTCCACTGTCATCTTGCTTTGAATGGTGTCTCAAGTGCCTCGTTCTAAAAAAAATAATAATAGCCATGCATGTAGAAGAGGCTGCTGTCTAAGATTGAAAACAATCAATCAGAATAGAGCGGGAAGGGACCTTGGAGGTCTTCTAGTCCAACCCCCTGTTCAAGCAGGAGACCCTATACTATCCCACACAAATGACTCTCCAGTCTCTTCTTAAAAACTTCCAGTAATGAAGCACCCACAACTTCTGAAGGCAACTTCTGTTCCACTGGTTGATTGTCCTCACTGTTAGATGTTGTTAGTTGCGAAGTTGTGTCTGACCCATCGCGACCTCATGGACAACGTTCCTCCAGGCTTTCCTGTCCTCTACCATCCATTTAAGCTCACGCCGACTGCTTCAGTGACTCCATCCAGACACCTCATTCTCTGAAGTCCCTTTCTTCTTTTGCCCTCCATCGTTCCCAGCATGAAGCTCTTCTCCAGGGAGTCCTTCCTTCCTTCTCATTAGGTGGCCAAAGTATTTGAGTTTCATCTTCCGGATCTGGCCTTCCAAAGAGCAGTCAGGGTTGATCTCCTCTAGGACTGAGAGGTTTGTTTGTCTTGCAATCCAAGGGACTCGCAGGAGTCTTCTCCAGCACCAGAGTTCAAAGGCCTCCATTCTTTGGCGCTCAGTCTTCCTTATGGTCCAACTTTCACAGCCATACATTGCAACTGGGAAAACCATACCATGGCCACTAAGTTATTCAAGAACTTCTAAAAGCTTTTGAAAGTCCGAGTGTCCTGTCTCCACCGTGCAACCTCCATCCAGGACTCCAGCGAGTCCTTCCTTCTCATTAGGTAGCCAAAGTATTTGAGTTTCATCTTCAGGACCTGGCCTTCTAAAAAACTGTTAGATAGTTTCTCCTTAATCCCAAATTGCTTCTCTCCTGGATTACCATCCATTGTTTCTTGTCTTGCCTTCTGGGGCTTTGGAGAATAATTTGACCCCTTCTTCTTTGAAGCAGCTCCTCAAATACTGGAATACCGCTATCATGTCCCTCCTAGTCCTTCTTTTCTCTAGACTAGCCAGACCCAATTCCTGCAACCGTTCTCCTTACAGTCTTTAAGTGAAACTTTGAGTAATAGAATAATAGATTTGGATAGGACCTTGGAGGTCTTCTAGCCCAACCCCTTGCTCAAGCAGGAGACCTTCTACCATTCTGGACAACAGTTGTTCAACCTCTTGTCAAAAACCTTCAGTGATGGATCACCCACAACTTCTGGAAGCGAGTCCTTCCACCAATTAATTGTTCTCACTGTCAGGAAATTTTTCCTTACTTCTAAGTTGCTTCTCTCCTTGATGAGTTTCCATCCATGTCTTGCCTTCTGGTGCTTTGGAGAATAGGTTGACCCCCTCCTCCTTGTGGCAGCCCCTCAATTGCTGGAATACTGCTATCATGGCTCTCCTAGTCCTTCTTTTCTCTAGACTGGCCATTCCCAAATCTTGCAACCGTTCTTTGTATGTTTTAGTCTCCAGGTCTTTAATCATCTTAGTTGCTCTTCTCTGCACTTTTTCCAAAGTCTCAACATCTTTTCTGAGACTTTTTTTGATGATGAAATGAATCTGATAGGTCAACCTGCTGATTTTTCTCAACCTGTGGTCCATGGATCCTTGGGGAGCTGTGATGTGGTCACAGGGGGTCCACGAAGACTTGAAGAAATGCTATGATTTAAATTTTGAGTTAAGTCTTGGTGGTTCATAGCCACAAAATGTATTTAAAGGGGGGGTCCATGGTGAAGAAAAGGTGGAGGACCACTGTTATAGGTGATTCAAACATCATCATCATCATCATCATCATCATGAAGATCTTTTCTTTTCTGGAGCACAATCTTCTAAGTCCCCTTCAGTCCTTCAGATCTACTTGCTAAGCAAGACAGTTGTTAAGTGAGGTTGCCCCATTTGGCCATCTTTCCTGCCACCATTGTTAAGTGAATCACTGGGGTGGTTAAGTTAGTAAAACGGTTGTTAAGCAAAGCTGGCTCTCCCCATTGACTTTGCTGATAAGAAGGTCACCAAAGGGGGAATCACCAGTGGTGAAATCCAATTTTTTTAACTACCGGTTCTGTCGGTGTGGCTTGGTGGGCATGGCAGGGGGAGGATACTGCAAAATCTCCATTGCCACCCCACTCCAGGGGAAGGATATTGCAAAATCTTCATTCCCACCCCACTCTGGGGCCAGCCAGAGTTGGTATTTGCCGGTTCTCTGAACTGCTCAAAATTTCCACTATCCGTTCCCCGGAACCTGTTAGAACCTGCTGAATTTTTCACCCCTGGGGATCATCCTGCAACTGTCGTAAGTCCATGCCAGTTTCCAAGCCTCCGAATTCTGAACACGTGACCACGGGAATGCTGCAACGGTCGTAAGTTGTGAAAAGTGTTCATAAATCACTGTTCTCATTTCAAACAGTCATGAAATGAAGGGTTGTAAATCAAGGACTAACCATACAATATTGTGATGCTTCCAAGATCTTTAAAAACTTATGATTTTTTCACCTCCTTCTTTGCTTCTGGGTCTCATATCAACTTTGATTCAGAGAAGAAGAATCCAACCGGGTCAAAGATTTTAGAGGAAAATAATCCTCTAATATGGCTGCCCATTGCACAGACGGTTACTTGAACTTGCAAGCAGGACGTAGCAATCCTAACAAGCAACCGCCGATTGGCTCTTTTTTCCCCGTGAATTTGTCTAATCCTCCCCGCAAGTCAGCTAATTGCTTGACCCTGTAAGCGGGCTCTCTGGCATCAGGCGCTGAAGCTTACTGGGTATTGTGGGAAATTCTTCCGCCAATCAGCTTCACTCTGTGACCACAGAGATCTGGCATTAGAAACTGCTGGTACGAAATAATCCTGTGGGGATGAAATTTATTTGGAGGATAGAATGCAAATTGTGATGCTGATTTGTATATTGGAAAATCTGGGGAAAGGGAGGGAGGGAGGAAGGAGAGAAAGGGAGGGAGGAAGAAAGGAAAAGAGGGAGGGAGGGAGGAAGGTGTAATGGAGGGAGGGAAAGAAGGAAGGAATGAAGGATGGGAGGAGGAAAGAAGGAAGGTGTAATGAGAGAGGGAGGGAAAGAAGGAAGGAAGGTGTAATGGAGGGAGGGAAGGAGGGAAGGAAGGAGAGGGAGGGAGGGAAGGGAGAGAGGGAGGGAAAGAAGGAAGGAAGGAAGGTGTAATAGAGGGAGGGAGGGAAGGAAGGAAGGAAGGTGTAATGGAGGAAAGGAAAGAAGAAAGAAGGGAGGATGGAGGATGGAGGAGGAAGGAAGGAAGGTGTAATGAGAGAGGGAGGAAAAGAAGGAAGGTGTAATGGAGGGAGGGAGGGAGGAAGGAAGGAAGGAAGGAACGACGGAAGGAAGGAAGGAAGGAAGGAAGGAAGGAAGGAAGGAAGGAAGGAAGGAAGGAAGGAAGCATCGTTTCTCTGATACTGGCCAATTGCAGAAATCTATTGCTGTCCTTCTCTGGATATCTGCACACAGAATAAAGAGGTGTGTGTGTGTGTGTGTGTGTGTGTGTGTGTGTTCGTTTGTGTTGCAATGCCTTCAATTATTGCATCAAACACGAGACTTTGATCAAAGTTTCCCCTCTCCTATTTATCCCCCTGTGACATGAGAAGCTTAACTTGTCAAAAGCTCCTCCTTGACCCGGTTGAAAAGGCCTTGAGTGCTTTCTTGGATCATCTCATCCTCCAACCTTTGTTTTAAGCCAATTGGGTGGGAAGAAGTTTGAAACTTCCTCCACGGAGACCTTCCTCTGCTTAGTCTAGCTTGGCTGAGGACCTCCATCTCGGGGTGGGGTGGGAGAGGTTTGGCTGGACAACTGTGACTGCACTTCTAAAAATCCTTCAGCTGGTCTCAAAACAGCTTCCGTCACAAATCAGGTTCGTCGCTGTTATTTATGTGTCCCACTTCGTTCTGCTAAGGAGCTGAAGGTGGGACATATGGAGATCTCTTACTCCACCCCTGTTGTCAGCGATCTCATCAGGACTTTGTACAAAGCGTGGGTTCTTGGCGCGGACCCTCAGCTGCCAGATGGTTAGACATAATATTGCTTCATTACTCCCGTCATCTGGAACCATCTGCTCCGCATGTCAAGTTCCCACTTTCTACTTATGGCTCAGTAGAATCACATCCACTCGATTCTGGGCTTTTTTCCTTTCTAGCAGCTAGCAAGCTCTTCCTGCTAGGTGGGAGACCTATATAGATCTATTTCTAGCTCGTTTGCTTTCATCAGTAGGCCACACTAATTTTTCTCCCCTTTTTTAAATTTTAAATTGAAATTTTAATTGGTTTTAAATTCATTGGGATTTTAATTGTCGTGGGCCAATATTATTTAATTTGGTTTTAAATTGTTTTAACTTTTGTATTTCTGTATTTTATTTTGTGCCTGTTCACCGCCCTGAGTCCTTCGGGAGTAGGGCGGTATACAAATTTAATAAAACAAACAAACAAACAAACAAACACACCCACATCTTATGTATCCTCCCTGTAAAGATATAGTATCTATTTTCTTACTTCTTCGTAGGGTTTATGTGTGTTTTTCCTCTAGCCAGGTTTTCCCTACGTAACCAAGGTTTTTCTGCAGCCCTAGCTCAGTAGAATCACATCCACTCGATTCTGGGCTTTTTTCCTTTCTAGCAGCCAGCAAGTTCTTCCTGCTAGGTGGGAGTATAGATCTATTTCCAGCTTGTTTGCTTTCATCAGTAAGCCACACCCACATCTTATGTATCCTACCTGTAGAGGTATAGTATCTATTTTCTTACTTCTTCATAGGGTTTATGTGTGTTTTTCCTCTAGCCAGGTTTTTCCTACGTAACCAAGATTTTTCTACAGCCCTAGCTCAGTCACATCCGCTCGATTCTGGGCTTTTTTTTCTTCTGGCAGCCAGCAGGCCCTATGCTGCCCTATGCTGCCTGGTGAGAG